TTGTTGCAAAAAGTTCCAATAGTTTTTTGTGTACATCAGAAATTATATAAAAAAAACACGTGTGTACCATATTGAATGAACATTGATTTTAGGTAAAGAAATGTAATTTCTATTGGGGTAACAAAATTGGATTGGCATTATTAGGTTCTAAACGGAAAGAAATTTGAGCAATCGCTAATTAAACAGTAAATATGACCAACTTTGCAGGTATAATTTACCAACGTATGCACCTATATTCAAAATGATATGTAATTGACTTTTTAATTCATGTTTTAAGTTTATATTGAAGTATGGCAAGTGCTCTTCTGTTAAGATCTTCAATATTTTTGTTGATGAGACATTAGAAAATACGTGCTTAGTATGTTAGGTTTAGTTTGTTTTGTTTTGTAAATGGTTGCGCTATGCTGCAGTTATGTTTGTCATCCTGTTTACAGTATTTTGCTAATATACGTTTGTCTTGGTTTTTTATTTCTGAAAAAAAATAATACAGTTCACCATCCAATTCGAGAGCAGTAAAAAAAAATACCAGCTGACAGTCTACCCCAAATGTCCAGGTCTCAGTTGTGTCCCATTGGAGAACTGTAATATGTATTCAAATTCTCGACGTTATTGAGGCCGTTTTGTTGATTATTGGCTTCATTTCCTCACGACACGTTTTACCACAATATTCCTATTAGTATTACATTGCCTGATATGAGATTCTTTTGAAATACATTATTAAAAAACTAATGCACATTTACGGCGATGTTACGTATGAAAAGAATTGATTATGCTATTGTTGTAGTTATTAATGTGCGGTTAATAACTAAAAACGCACGCCACCAGAGTATTGGAATCATAAGAATATGATGTATGTATTTTGAAATGGTAGGTTCTAGGTTTCACATGTGATTCACTATTGTTGTTATTGCTATTATTTTGTATTATTACCTACGCAAGGAGGTTATATTTTCATTCGATTTGTGTGTGTTGTGTGTATGTGTGTTTGTATGTTTGTTAGCAAACCTCCTACCTACAATTTTAGGTCTACGTGCGTCAAATTTTCACAGATTATTTTTGATATTAAAAGGAGGCTCCTTTCTATCTTGGTTACAATCCGGAGTGGGAAGTTGAAGGTGGGCCATTAAAATCAAAACTCTCCACACTAGATAGAGTATCTCAAAAACTGATTTACTGATCTGTATTCAACTTTCTGGAACTATTAACCAATTTACAAGGAAGTCATTATTACATTTTCATGACGATCCAGATTCGGGTGTAAATTTAGGGGAGGGTGGTCATTATACATACGTTCCATACCTTTAATAAAATTATTAAATGGATTTGATTGAAATTTTCTAGAATGGTTTTTCATGTTCTAAAGAAGAAATTATAAAATTCTGGTGACTATCCTGAGTAGGGTGTGGATAAGAGGACCATTTAAAGAATAAGGTCCCAGACCATATCTAAAAAACTGATCAACTGATCTGAATATCCAATAAGATTTATCCAAGTTACAATGGTAAATGATTAAATTTTGGTGACGATCCAGATTTGGTTGTGGATGTGGGGTCATTTAAAAGGATAAAGTCCCAGAGCTAAATATCTCAATAACTCATTAATAGATCTTAATGAAACTTTTTGTAATGGTTTGTCATGTTACAAGGACGATATGATTACATTTTGGTAACTATCCGGAGTAGGGTGTAGATATGAGGACTATTTAAAGGAAACTTTTCTTGCCTAGATATTAAAAAATAAATGATAAATTCACCTAAAAACCTTTCTGGAATGGTTCGTCATGGCCAAGGGAAAATGAAAAAATGCAATTTTGGTGACGCTTCGGAATAAAGTGTGCGTGTGGAGACCTTAAAACGGAACCTCCTAGGCCTAAATATCTTAAAAACTGATTAATGGATCTGAATGAAACTTTCTCATGGTCCAAGAAACAATGATTGAAGGCTCTTAATGGCTACCGTATCGCACATGACTAAAAACGTATTATTTGTCTGGTTATGACGTTCGTTTGTAAGCGATGTGTCCCCGATTCGAATCCCTGTGGAGGTTGCGATTCTGTTTTCATTATGTTTGTTTTTCAAAAGATAAAAAGATGTGAGGGAATATTATACAGGGGGAATTATAATGTGTTCGAAGATATACACTCTAGGAGTGTGCTCTAGTTATCACTTTTTTTTATTATTATTTGTTATTATATAAATTATTGTTTTTTAGTGTTAGGCCTCTATCAACTATATCAATTTATCAGTAGGCCTATATTTTATTAAGACTATACATGTTTTTAAGTTAGGTTTACTCTTCATTATTATGGACATTTAGTATATTTTTGATTATTATTAATAATATTTTTATTATTGTTGTTACAGGCCGCTTGATATTAGCTTTTCAGCATTTGGGAGCTGAACAGGTTACCCTTGTTAAATATGAAGGAAAAGAGGAACTTACCGCCACAGCGAGAAATTTATTGTTACTGTTTTGACTTATTTTCTTTTTCATCCAGCCATTTCCTATTATTTTTTCCACAGGGGTTTTCTACCTCCATTTTGGTCATTTTTCATGTTTAACTTGGCATTCAAGCAATGATCTTAATAAAGATGTGCCTAGTAAAAATGGCTACATTCTACACATCTGTAATATGTTATAAATAGGTAATTTATTCTAACCCAACTTTTAACGCATGCAACAGCAGGCTCGCATAATCACCATACATTTACAAAAGGAAGGAAATAAACAAAATCGTTTGAGTCCTTGCCCATCGGATTTGGTGGTAGGCTTAGCCTCGATTCAGGTAACCCCGATCGAGACATCAAGCAGCACTAGATATAGTTCGTTGGCTTATCAACTGTAATAGTACATTTTCAAGACCAAAAAAATATTAATGCAATTGTACATGTTAGCTGTCTGGACAATTACACGGATTGTAACTTAATCGACGTTTAAATAGTCACAATCAACATTAGATAGGCCTAGAGGTTATGTTATTTCAGTATCTCATTAAGATATACGAGACAATTTGATGTACTTAGACTTGGTGTAATGTTCTGCTTGTATAAAGCGATTTCCATATAAAAATGTTAAAGTACTTCCGAATAGTGTGATCGTCGGGAGCAGTTAACAGTCATACTCAATGTCCCCTCCCGAGACCATACCTGTCATGCATGGTTATTCAGCATATATCAACATTCAAGAGAACATTCAACATACTTAATATTCACAAGACAAGTTTATTATTTCAAATGACGGAAGAGACACGGTTTTCATGTGAACCCATGACAGTATTGTATATTCTACCCTGAGCGTTGGGAAATATAACAAATACATAATGATATTATATGAAAGCAACAGTCCAAATGATACATTTTTTATGTATATGTATGTATACATAGGATTATATGCCTTTTTGAGTATATAAATGTACGGTATATATTGTAAATTTAGATATAATTTATATATAATATATGGGCCTATAGACAGTGTTACAAAAATATATGAACATACTAACCAAATTTGCTGCTTAGCACTGAAAATATAGATAAAGGCATGTATTATTATATGTATAATATCAAAATAGGATTTGCTACAGGATTTGCTGCATAGGACATTAAACATAATATAAACAACAGTGTTTGAGTTATAATCGTTTCAAGATGCGGAAGATTGCAGGTTCGAGTTACAGTGGAGGTTGAGTTTTTTTTTTAAGTTCTCTCTCAAATTGTTCTTCTGTTACGTTTTAATAATATATATATAT